TAGCTAGGCTGTGGGTTAGACAGCTCCAGACTGCGATACTCACAGCTGTTATAGCCAACATCACAACAACAGGAAGTCTTGGTGGACGAGAAAGTCAGCTGAATATTTGTGGGCAAGCCATTAAAAGTTACCTGACACACAGATCATGCCTGGAGCTGCTGGAATAGTGTTGCGTGGCTCAACAGACTCTGTCTTTTTGTTATGAGCAAGCCTCGCTCTCCTCCACGTTTGTTTATCCTGAATGCAAATTTCTTTTCCGCAACACCGGCATATGCGTTATATGTGTTATATATTTGTTTTACATTGGATGTTCGATAGACGTCGAATATCCAATGTAAAAAACTAGCTTCACTGGGGTGCAAAAGCAAGAAGATACACTTATCCAGTTTGACACAGGGATAAAAACTGAGAAGGAAAAGACAGACAAAGAGAAGAAGAGAAACAGATCCACTGTAGAATACAACGACAAAAAAGAAGCGCTACCAGCTTGGGCAGACACTGTGGAATTTTAATGGGTCTGGCTTTGCTAAGGGTCCCCTTTCCTGGCGGGCTGAGCTGTCCCTGAATAATTTATGTGACACAGCAAGGTTAGCATAAACCAGAGGTACACAACTCCCCTTCCTCAGGCCTGCGTTCAGTCCAACCGGAGCAACAGTATAACCTCATGCATCACAGGTTTATCCCTGGCTGCTCAGACATTTCATACACCCACTCCTTTAGCTGTCCGGCCAAGTCCTGTGTTAGTTTTCTGGCAACACTCGTGTTTCAAACTGTCAGGTCTCTAGTTAAATAAAACAAAAACGCCATGATACCTCATGTGCTGCAACAACAAAAAAGTGTAGAAAAGCTAAAGGCCAACATCAGAAAATATATCACATTTTAGATCATCACCAGGTCACATGAGCAGGCACGTGTTTCTGGTTATTATTAGCTAAAACGTAGGTCTGTCGGTCCACCACGTCAATCCAGACTGAAATATCTCAACATCTATTGGATAGATTGGAAAGCCAGCACCACCAGCAGGTTGACATTCTTGTTTTTTAGTGGAACGTGTTGACCACTTCTGCGCGGATTGCTCTGAAAGCTGGTGGACATGGCATAATACTACAACTAGTCAACATCAACATGTTAGCATTGCCATAGAGGGCATGTTAGCATGTTGTTGTTAGCATTTAGCAACAGCAAATATAATAGGGTGACCAGACGTCTCCAGTTTTGGTGGCTTGTCCCTGTCTGGAGCTGTCCACGTTTTTAACTGTGTGTTAATCATAGACTGTCTAAGGTGTTAACAGACCTGAAATCAGACTTTACGTGTCCAGAAAGACTGGACAGCAGGGCGTACAGGTGTCATGCCGTGTCCGCGGGAACGCGCGCAGCATGTAACAAGTTTTCAAAAGTTTATCTTTAATAAGCATTTATTCATTCTGTTGACTATTTGAGACGTTTATCAGATATTTATGTGTTAATTGAACTTGGGTTTGTAAGTTATCAGTTAAAAAAAGGCGAGTGTGCGGGGATGGGTGCAAGAGACAAAAGATATTTGCTAAGTCTTTTGAGTTTCTTTAAAGTATAGTTAAGTTGAAACATGAACATAATCAACTAATTTTACACTGCAGATTAGTCATGTATTCAATTTCTAACTAAAATATAATCACTTTTGTGGTAAACAAGAAAGGATTAGTGCCACAGGTGGAGGGGTTAAATGTAAGCTGAAACTAACTTGGAATTTAAATCCTCTTAAAGGAGACCTATTATGCTTTTCCACATTTTATGACTTTTCTACAATGTTGTAATTTTGGATGTTCATGTTGAACATGGCCAAAGCTTCAAAAAATGAGGTTAAAGTATTTAAAAGAAATCCCTGTGAGCTAAAACCTCAGATTTCCTCCTGTTCTGAACAGCTTTTTCTACCAACGGCTCCGTTCTACGTAATACGGAGCCAGACGGAGCCAGTGTTCCATATTTGTGCTCCCATAGCAACAGCTCAGTCTGCCTGTTCTGCCTAGCAACAACAACAGCCTGGTAACATGCTTCAGGTCTTGGCCAATCAGAAGACAGTGGGCTTTGAGGGGGGGGCTTAAAGAGACAGGAGCATCTAGAGCTTGTTTCAGACAGAGGCTGAAATGAAGGCCTGCATGAAGAGTCAGTATAAGAAAAGAAAATATTTTTTTGAACTTTGAATCATGCAAAGCTGCCATAAAGGAGTCACAGAACTACAATATAGGTCTTGAAAAGCAGTTTAGGTCTCCTTTATCCTGAACTGGAAAGAAGTATACATATGGTTAAGTTGTTTAACTTGAAACTGTGAGTTAGTTAATAATGCAGAAATACACAGTATGTTGGTTAGACTCGTTAAGGGAAGTTTTCTTTCATCGATTAAGTAAAATAATTATTTTAACTCAAAGTTCGAAACAAGGTTTTAAAAAGTTCAGTCAACTAAAAAAACAACATTGAGACAACTACAACACTGTAGTCAACTTTATGAACTTTAATTTGTGATTTAAAACAAAGGAGTTAACTTTCAGGTGAACGTGCGTTTTCCAAGTTAAACTAACCTGAAATGTCTTACAGTGTACATTCTGACTTCCCTATCCCTAAGGCCTCAAGCCCGCTGGTGATTTCGTGTCATTCCTACTTTACTAAAACAGTTGCTCACTGTAGTTTTTTATCAAACTTTACTCAAACAGCAGAAAATAGTGCATTTGTTAGGGGCTACTTTCAGCGGTGGATTCATCCACCTGTAGCGCTCTAGTGAGAGTCGGTGTATGTTGGATTAAGTAAACTCATTTGTGTGTTTCTGGGTCATGAAGGGACACGAATAGGGAGCTAAACACTAGAATCTATCATAACGTTGTTCATGTTATTGTGTCCACCCTCCCTCTCCTGTACATGAGTGATGCATTTAACTTAAACTGGATCCCGTATTTAGAGCCAGACGTAATGTTGTCATGGCACCAACTGCACCATCGTGTCTGTCCTCCCCCTCGCTGTCGCTCTCTGTCTGTCGCCCATATAACAAACGAACGATGGCAGCGAACAGCCATGCTGCTGCTGATGTCACCAGTTACCATGGCAACCGGTGCTCAACCGTGACGCTGAACTGGGGCGGGGGGGGGGGGTGCATGTGTATACAGGTAATAATGTTCATTATCAAAGCTGGTGGTTCGGATTGTTTTTTTCATCTCCCTGTCTATTGTATTATTATTATTATGTTGTTGCTGTTTTTGTCTTTTTGGGTATTTTTATTCCATTTATTTTTAATTGTCTGATTTTATTTGCCTCATGTTTTAATCCTGGTTCAACCAGGCAAAGCACTTTGTAACGTTATTTTGAAAAGTGCTGTATAAGGTTTATTATTATTATTATTAATATCCACCTGTGCATGCTTTCCACAAAAAAAAATTATATTTTCTTGCAATTTCAAAATGTAAATTGCTGTTATGAATGGCTTATAATAATCTATCTTTTTTTTTTTAAATATGTCATAATGGTAAAATGAAAACAATCTACCAAGTCCAATAAGATTTCTTCTTTTTTTTTCATCTTGTGTGCAGAAGTTATTTTCTTGTTCCCACAAGATAATTATTTTGTGCACACAAGCTAAAATTTAAAAAAATATCCTCTTATGGGACTTCAGGGGCTCCGTAACAATCTAACATTGAACTTATAAACTCAATAAATAATGTTACAAAAAGCTTTGTCCTGAAATGCATTATTTTATTTTATCCCAAAATGCACAATGTTTTTTCAGCCGTGATAAGTGTCTACAGTCTTTTTCACAGGCTGCATACAGACCCCAAAAAAACTCCAACAGGACGATATGGCAGCTTGTATGCTGCCTTACTGGAGCGGCTGTGTGTCTGGGCGAAATCAAAACTTAAATCTCAAGACCTCTTAGAAAGCTAGTCAGGTTTTGACTTAAAAGAGCACCTTCAGACACATTTTAAGACATTTGATCATTTGTGATCCTTCTGCACAGAGACGCTCAAACATCCAAACGACGTAATAAAAAACAAAACACACCTTTGGGTTAAATTCCACTGAGTATCCAACCTGTCTTTCTCGCTCTTGGACTCTTGTATGTTATACTGCTTTCTAACCACCAGCACTGCGGGTTACCTTATTAACTGCACACACTCAGTAACAAACACTCAACGTACACAAGTTTCTATCACTATCAAATAAATAATTTCCACTAACAACAAATAGGATTATCATACTGATTAAATTCTCACTCCTAAGTAATAATATGCTATAATAATAATAACTTATTTATAATAAGTTTTGGCTTTTATTTATTTGATTATTTTAATTTAACAAGGTAAGACTTGATGTGATCAGTGATCTCTTTAACAAGGGGCGACCTGGCCAAGACAGCTGAATGAAAAAGGTTACAGACCTTACCTACAAGAAATGTAAAAAATATACATTTACGTGTAAATAACTAAACTAAATTTAAAATACCTATGCACAGTGACAAGTACCAGCCAATTTATTCATCCTTGCTCTTATAGAAGCCATAACATAGGAGTCTTTTTAAAGGCCGTTCTAAGTGAGAGGAGGACATAAAAGATTTCTTTCCCTCTTTGCTCTTGCAAAAATCAGCAACTGTAAAAATGTGTTATCAAACACTAAACTTTCCTTGATTTATTGCTAATTTTACTAAAACATGGTGATTTGTGTGCATTTATTATTGTCATAGGGAGAATACTTTAGTGTGTATTTGTACAAAATTATCAAATGAAACACAATCCTTAGGCATATGGAGCACCATCTGTTCTGCAGAACAACGCCACCCCTGTGACCCTCTAACCGTGTTCTTCGGTGCTCTTGTTCTGGTACAGTATGACACGATGACACTTTAAACTCCTGACCTCCCACCGGCCTTCACACACAAACCTCAACTCCAAACTCAGAAAATACCTCCAACTTCCAGCTTCCTTGTACAAACAGCCTAACATCCCTCATCAGCTCCTTTAATTTCTACATGATCCACTCACCTGGATCATGTAGAGCTGAGCAATGCGGTACTCCTCCACGCTCATCGGCATGGGGATGCGATACTCCTTGATCAGCATGGTTGTGCTTGAATTGGTCCAACTGTGTGTTTGTGTGTGTGTGTGTGTGTGTGTGTGTGTGTGCGTGTCCTCTCGGCCGGCTTCGCTACCCAAGCAGCATGTTCAAACAGCGAGGATGGGAGTCATCGTAATTCACACCTGAGAGAGGAGAAAAGAAAATACTTTCAGTGGGATGGAACTTTAAGAATATGTATATTTACAGCTTCCAGCATTACTTACAAGAGTAGTAGTTAGCATGTTTGTCTCAAGGATTAAACCTGCGATACACAAGCCAACACATCCTGTGTGTGTCCTCCTGCCCTCGTACAGATCTATTACAAGGTAATCCACTGACCCAGCAACATCCTGAAATCCCTCAGCAACCTAAATCCCAACGCTGTCCACACACTCAAGATTCAGCCAAGTTGTGGTCGGCGCAGCTTTTAAATCCAACAAAGCTTTTACTGTGAGTCCTCTGCAGCGCACATTTAGTACTTAAGTACAACAACATTGAGCTGCTTGTACTTTATGCGAGTATTTAATTTTCCTGCTACTTTATATTTCCACTACATTTAAGGAAAAAATAATGTACTTATTTACTCCACTTCATTTATTTGACACCTGAAGTTAAGAGTTATTTTACAAGATTTTACATAAAAATCATACGATCAATTTATAAAATGATGATTTGTTTAGAGCACAAAATTTGTGTCAAATAATTTTAGTCCTTAAAAGGAACCTATTATGCTTTTCCTTATTTTCTATAAATTATGATCAGTGTTTGTTTTGTTTACCTGTTTCTATTTTATGCTGATGTGTTTCTTTATCATATTTATATATTTATTTTGTTTTGTTTCACTGCTATTTTGGGTAGAGCAAGGTTAAGGAATTATTAAGTGTATAGGGTCGGCTCAATAAGCCTTCATCTTATTTTTGTGTCAAAGAATATAATGTTTGATATGTTTTTATTTTTCATATAATGATTTAGTATTATTTGACTACATTCATAACCGTATGGTCGATTTGTTGTCACTGTGTATAACTGACCGAAACTAAAATATTTACATAATGTTACTAAATCGGATGTTCATCCTAAACGTGGCCAAAGTTTAAAATAATGAAGTAAAAGTAAGTCCTTCAGACAGTTCACTGCTGGGCTGACATCATCTGCTCCTAATCTGATCCAACGACAGTACGTCCACAAAGTACAACCCGTCCACCCACTCAGTTTGCTCGTGGCGCTTTCTCCAGCGCTGGCTCAGGTCAGGACTACTCTTCAAGTTATTGGAGGTTACTCAGTATGTCTCACAGCAAGTTAGTTAGTTTCTTGATGGACAGATGACTTTAACTTCTGCTAATGGTAGCTGCAGAAAACCTCCTCCTCCCGGAGTGCCAAAGCTCCTGTGCTAGTGTTGTAAACATCAACACTGCAGTGCTGGAGGGCAGGGTGGCAAGTTCAGTTAGCAGCAGTTACTTTAAGGCTATCTGTTCACCCAGAAATGTCATAAAATATGATCCAGAATCAGTGAATAAAGTTTTAAAAGTATGCTTTTGTACAGTAATCAGTAAGGCCCCGGCCACTCATATCTGGTACTGACACCGGCCCCCAGCAACATGCTCCGAGGTAGCATCATAAAGGGCCATTTTAAGTATAACTGTGAATCATGTAAAGCTTCTCTTGTGGAATCGCAGAATTAAAATATAGAGCTGGAAATGAGCATAATCGTTCCCCCTTTTTAGCGAAAAACAAGTTGTGAACACAACAATAACTTAAGCTTGAAGCTTAACTTGATATGATGATCTTGTTCTGCAAACAGTTGTTTATTTACACATCCGGCAGTTACAGAGCAACATTATCATTCATATGAAGTCGTGTTTGTGTCACCTGATGAATGTAAGTCCAACACTCGCTCCCTTTTTTCTGTTTTGCTACACCGTGCTCTGGATATTTTTCTGCTTCTTTTGTTCTTTGCCAATCACATGTCTGGTAAAAGCTCTGAATACTTCTTCCCCACTGAGCCTCTGATCTGTATGTTTTGCGGCTCTCCCTCTTTGTCCATAAAGAATATAGTATTTAGGGTAATTGCTCACTATCATCACTGCCATCCTTTCTTCTAACATCATCACCTGTCTTTCCAAACAGTAGTGACACAGTGTTCGTGAGGCTGCTCCGCTGTACGTCCACCTGTCTCGTGAGTTTAGGACCGTCACATGACAAAGGCCACTTAATCTCAGACAGATTAGGAAAAGACTGTAAATCTGACGCCGTTTTAACATGAGAGAAAGGAGGAGGAGGAGGCGAAATGTTAAATTAAAAACTCCTGTGTGTGCAGTGTGTAGTGTACCGGTTGTGTCCCACTGTCTGTCCATATGTGCATGATTAGGCTATGCATGTTTGGTCAAGCTGCTGTGGTAGATGATCCGTAGAGGTCAGGACGTACAGTTTGACAGTGAAAGCAGCCTGGAACCTCTTCCTGCCAACAACACGGGGCTTCCTTAGCTTATTAATATTTATTTTAAATCTAGAATTTCAGCTGTGCTAGCAGCATGTCGGTCTATTTATCCATAGCTTTGATACAGACTGAAAGCTCTTAACAACGGTTGGATAGGTTGCCATGAAATCAGGTTACTCCTGATTTCGGTGATCCTCTGACTTTTCATCTAGCGCCATCATCAGGTTAATAGTTTATGACCAAATACCTGCAAAATTATGATGAAATACTTATTTGCAGCTGTATCATACAAATAAATAGTTTAAAAAATCATACATTGTGATTTCTGGATTTTTTGTTTTAGATTATGTCTCTCACAGTGGACACGCACCTACGATGACAATTTCAGACCCCTCCATGATTTCTAAGTGGGAGAACTTGCAAAATAGCAGGGTGTTCAAATACTTATATTCCTCACTGTAGATATTTTCTGTGCATGTAACAGGTTTGCAAAATGAAAAAGCCCAAACTCTTGCTCCAGTCCATGTTGCCAAGCTGGTCGGCAACATGTGCAGCTGTACCGAAGCTGTTTACCAGCTTCTCGCTGACCCGCCCTTCTCTGCTTCTGATTGGCTAGTAGTAACTACTTATACTTATACTTATACCACCTCTTTAAAACAAAGCGGGAAACCCTGGATAATAATTATATAAATTAGTAGCACTGAATCTTACTGAAGTATCAACTCTGCTTGTTAAGATGTTCGGGAAGATGAAGATTACATGACTAATGGATATATTTATCTGAAAGTTTTCATGTGATTACAAATTGTAGAAACCACCCTGAACTTAAAAGAAAGAGTTTGACACTGCTAATATAGATATGTACATTTCGTCACTTTATACAAAAGCTTTAATTTTAGAAATGGCTCATTGTGTCCTTTAGCAAAATATCTCAATAGTTCACTGAATCACAGTGAGGCTTTCTACATGAAATATTCTCCATATTCTCTATTCTTTAATTCCCGTGACGCATAAAACAGCTAGAGGTATTAAAACTGCAGTGCCCTGTGTTAACCATGAATGAACAATTGAATCCAAGCTTCTCTCCAGAGGCTGAAATGTACAACCTTATCTGTGCTCTGATACAATTACAGCAGGGAGATGTGGAGAGTGGCATTTCTCACTGAATCCTGTGAAGAATAAGTCCTTGACCGACAGAGGAACCGCTATATATAGACACACAGTAATCCCTATAAAGCAAAATGTGAGACAGAGACAGATGAAAACTGACACATAAACAGATAGCCATGCATGAAGACCGAGCCTTTTGTTTTTTATTTGCCTCGATCAGCCAAAATGAGCTGTGAGTCAGCACATCAGATACAGCAGCATCCATTCACACAGACTGAAGAACAAACTCAAGAGGATGATGGTTTACAGCGAGGATGTTATGTTATGAGGATGTTAGAAGAGTGCATTACTAGAAGAACATTCCTTTTGTTTTATGTCACTGTAAAGTAAATATCTTTTGGGTTTGTTTTGGTCGGACAAAACAAGACACTTGGGCCTGTTTACAGTTTAGTTTATTAATAATGGCAATAAGCGTTAGTTGCAGCCCTTGGTACTACATGACGTGTCTAGCTCTGGTCAAAGTGATAAATGTTTTAGCAACTTTCAGCTCATTGTTTATTTGTCCCGCCCAAAACATTACTGTTCTGATTCACTTTCACTGTTCTCATAGCATCGCTTTTTGGCCGCATCAGGCAGCTTTTCAGAGAAAAAGATGTAAAAAGCCACTGTCCACTAACTGCTCAGCAGCAAACAGCAGGCAGACACAGTTAGAGACTAGCAGGGGAACAAAGTGGGGCATTTAGCAGCTTAAGAGTCAGATATTTCCCTCTGGTGGAGGCCAAAAACAGAGCTAAAAAAGAATATCAGACTTACACTCATCAGGTGGCCAGAAACGTGACTCTAAATGAATCATCATGTTGATTTTTAACTGCTGCACTTGTAAATAAGCAACTTTTTGCTAAGAGCTTACTAATGTGACGCCCCTGGTGCATGCTGGACTTAAAATAAGGCATGCTGGTTAGGAATTGTGTCAGACTTTTGCTGGCGCTGCAAAATGTCACCATGTCACATGACGTTGAAACCTCTGGCAGCCACTTTTTACCAGCTGCACAAAGTTGGAACCACACTATTGACTGATCTCGCTGCATTTTGCTTGCAAATTTCAGCTCACAGCAAGTACATGGTAGAATGTGTCTGACTTGATGGCGCCATTTTTATTCCCCGCCCCTGCAGTCACCTGCAGCTCATGAAGTCAGGGAAAGTCATACGCAGTCATCTTGAACGTATCTAGTGTTACGTTCACAGCTTGTTTTCAAAATTCAGTTAATGCAGGTTTAAGCGATAAAATGTGACAAATGTCCATAACATGTTTCAGTTCAAATTCCTTATTTTGTCCTGAGTCTCAAAGATATTCAATTCACAATGATACACAACAGAGAAAATCTCCAAATCATTTGTCACTTTTTGTCTCTTTTTCTATCAAGCGACTAATTGATTAAATCACTAATTGTTTCAGCACTAGAGAAGTTTACGTATTATCCAGCTCTATTAACATTTCTGTCATTCAATATTTTACTGCAAAACTGTCTGTCCGAACACAAAATTAATAAATAGCCCGAGACACAAACATAAAGAACAAAATATAATACAGAAGTT